AAACATCTTAGAAATCAAACCTAACCTCAGACCTAATAATATGCTCGATTAGAAAATGTTACGGATTGCAATGCAGTTTAATATTACCGTTAATCTAATCTACCAATTTCTGGTCAATTACTTCCTTAATTTATATACAATCTTATGATTATATACAGAAATAAGGACCCCTACCGGGTGAGACATAAGACTGTATCCATTACAGACCAATCAGCGATGACCAAGTTTCTGTCGATCCCTGGCTTCATTTGCATCTACTTGTTCTTACGCCATGCAGTATTTAAGCATGATCAACATTGATCAACAGATCAATTAACCAGAATCTAACGTATATTAGTATATACACCTACTTGTTCAGTTACAAAGAAATTTCTTATGGAAAATCATATGGTTTTATATATCGCATTATACCTGAACCATGACCTATCATTTTACAATGAAGCTTGTAGCTTAATAGGGGCTCGCGACTTAACCACTGAGCAAGGAGTGCTAATCCTCTTTTTTTGTTAATTTTTTTTTTTTTAAGTGCAGTAGTTTCGCTAAAACTTTATTGAAAGACAAAAATCTTTATTTAAATAATCATGAAACTATCTAAATCAAAACCGACCCTGAACTTTTATAGAATCTAACACAACCAAAATTATGTCGTCACATTTCAGCAATTAGAAACAGAAAAGGGCTTGACTCCTATAGCACCAAAAATTTGTCCAATGAGATCCTAAACGGACCATTTTATCTATAATCTTGTGAGGCTCTAATATTTGATTAGTTATAGAGAAGTGGTAGCCGGAACACTCAGTGAGAAACCTTTTTAAATTGTCAGTGATTTTGTAGGACTTTTCAAAGTCTTTAAATTGTAAGCAACGATCTTTTCAAATATTGTTAGATTGTTCAAAAAAAAATGTATGAAGGACAACAATGCAGCTTCAGTAGCTTCTTTGGAGATGAGTGATTAATAAATGATATTAGATAATATTGAGGGAATAATACCTTTGATTAAATTTATAAATGAGAAATACTCTGAGTTTGAGAAGGACTAGATATTCAAATGTTGGATATCAGGAATTTGTATCTCGTTATGTGTAATAGTACTGAGTAATAACTGGGAGTCTTAAACGAGACATTGTGTTTTGTGAAGTACCATAGGGCAAGTCTAAATATATGCAAAATTTTCTAGTTTCATATCACATCTAATGCATAATTTAGCACTATCAAATAAAAGTGGGTGTCGTATTTTTAGTACTTCAAGTGTAGGAAGCATTTCTAGCATTTGTTGGATCTTTTTCCTTTTGAAAGCAGAAGCTTTGTAATTGGTAGCAGCTGAGGCAACATTATCTGAAATGCAAAGAGTGGTGGAGTTCCAATCAATGTCTATATTAGCGTATTTGGAATTAATGTCCAGATTCAAGAAAGCAGTGAACATCTCAGCTTTGTTAATGATCTTAATGAACTGTCGGATTGGAAAAGTAATAGCCAAATTGTTGTAGTAGAGTGTCGTGTGAGACTGATCATTAATATTAAGATATAGTGCTAAGGAATCCAAAGATGTCTTTGCTAGATGATCTACTTTTTCATTATAGAGGTCACCTGAATGTACTTTAACCTTAACCATAGATACCTTTAAAGCCAATGTATCGATGATTTGAAAGATACAATGCCAAATGTGAGCGTTGACAATTTTGAGAAAGGGCTGTTTAGATGGTGAAATCACTGACAGTAGTTTATATTTGAAATATTGTGAAATTACAGAGCTTGAATCTGTAAATATCTTTATATGACACAACCAAAATTGCTGTAAATATGGCAGCTAATTCTGCAGCTGAAGAAGAAGAAAAGGAAGCTGTAAAGGCTATTGAATAAGAAATCATTAGAGCAGAAGGTGCCGTTTGAAGCTAAGCTAAACCCATTCGAATTGAGAAGGAGCCAAGGTCTTTTAAGGAACCATTTGTATAAAATTCTAAAGAAGTGCAGGGGTTAAATTGGGAATGAATTGTTAATAATAAATGAAAATGTGATAGAGGAATAAATTTTTCTATAAAAGTGGGAGGAAGAGGAGAAATAAAATCTAATGCAGGTATAGAGTTTGTAGAATACTACGAAGTTTAATAAATTAATAAGCTAACTCATTCAGTAGATCGATGAACCAAGAGCAACCATATGTTAAATTACGAGTATTATGGTTCACTGGAATCTTGAAACAAAGATTGATAGGTACAATAAATAAACATTTTTTATCTTTGTAAGTAGTATGATTTGGAACATATGGGGCCTTTGCAATAGAAATGGGGGAAACTGCCGGGAAAAATTAATTTTACTTTTATATGCCAAATATGATTTTTATGTGATAAATATGTTCAAATTTAGCATTAACTCACTTTTGATTTTTCCGGCTGTTCCCCCCCTTTCTATTGCAAAGGCCCTATATGCTTGTCTGTCATACATAGCGCAATGAGTGCAGTCGAAAAGTATAGTTCTACTCTCAGGTCCATTAGTCAATAAAATATGAAAAATATGCATATAATGTTCTTCTGTTTTGAGTAATTTACCAACAAAATGTTTATTGTAACCATAATTCTACCCTAAAATGAAAGTTATAAGTCCAGCAATCTTGTTAGGTGAAGAAAAGTCGTATTTAAAATTATTTGGGTGTTGATAAGAAACACTGGTGATTCTAGAATAGCTATTAAGCAAGAGTTTGTTTTGGAGCAATTTAAACCAGCGAGGTATATGTCCCGTCAGAAGCAAGCCCTGTTGAACGTTTAGATCGCCAAATGTCAACATAATATCACCTTTTGAAAAAATGAGTTGTTCAACGAATAAGAGCGAGTATTTTCTAAGATTTGTGATGATGGATCTAAAATCAACGGGAATTAAAGAAATATGGTCGTACTTCCTCCTTTAATTAGATCTGAGTCTGTGTCAGGCAGTTGAGCTGAAATTTGATTGCTTTTCCAATTACATAATAAGTTCGCTATCCAATCGTTTGAATTTGGATAGCGAGAATATGGCCAATTGAAGAGTGGTGATATATGAAGCCATTCTTTTTGTTGTAATTGTTTGATACATAAGTGTATAGTAACTCTTAGGAGATTACTATCATTGAGTGAAAAGAGTAATGCTTCACTCTATGCAATAAGTAATCGATGATGCATTTTAATGAGACCATAAAATTGACTCGAATGAAGCACAGAGGATGGTAAGTCACATAAAAAGTACAACTTCTTTTTTATAAAAGCACAGTATGGGGAGTCGATTGAATCACATTGCGCAATTGTCAAAGCGGTCAATTGGATATGATATTCAAAACCTTGGGATGAGGACTGTATTGAAAATATACACTATTTATTTGTCAGTCATTTTCTTTTTGAACATGACAGTTGTAGCATTTTTGATATCGTTCTTAAGCATTCTAATGGTGAAAGTTTTGTTGCGTCCCAATGAGATCCAAGCTCTTAGGTATCTAGTTGATTCATTGAATGGCAGTGGATCAATGTTGGGAAGACGACCGTTTGTAATACAATAAAAGATTGTCAATCTTTAGCTTTATTTGTTAAGAGAACTGACTTTTCCCAGTTGACTTTAATATGGTTTAATTTGTAGAAATCTTCTGCTATTTCAATGATAGCTGTGAGATTTTTACGACATCTAGCTATTTACAATTCATCGTCTATATATGCGAGTGTTGATACTTTAACAGTTGTTAATTCAGTAACATTGAGCAAAATATTTGATTTCCAAGTATGTGAAAGCGAGTAACTGTGTGAAGAGTTTTGAATTCTACACAATAGGGGATCATAATATATACATCATAAAAGAGGTGATATGATTTCTCCTTGATCAATACCTGACATGACCTGATATGAGATAGTGTTGCCAAAGGAGGTAAACACTTAATTATGCTGGTTACCAAAAATTTTTAGAATGAACCTAAGAAAGTTGAAGGAGATGTGAAGTCTTTCTAAAGCCCTTATAAGCATAAAAATATTGACTCAATCGTATGCCTTAAACATATCTTGTAATAAGATGCAGAAGTCTTTCTTGTAATAAGCAGCATTGTGTTTGACATTGTCAATAATATGTGATGGTTTGAATGTAGATTTAAATAGATGATCAGCGAAGTTTAGTTCTTTTAAAATATTATGTTATATTAAAATCTTTGAGAGTCATCTATTAATAAGTTTGATAAGTGCTTTGCGAATGCACTCAAGTAATGTTATAAGAGGGGTGTTATTTAAGTCATATTCCCATGGTTTGTGTTTAGGAATCGGGTAGATAAACGCGTGATTCTAGCGATAAGGTACTGATAAAATGGCTAAACATCCACATATAATATACCAAAGTAAATTTTTTTGTAGTTAGGCCAAGATGTTTAAGCATCTCATTAGAAACTTTCAATAGACCTGGAGCTTTGCCGTTTAGAAGATGAGTAATCAGGTTATACCATTCATCAGCTGAAGGTAGATCCATTAGTTTATTATAAATTATCACGTTAACGTTCTCTAATAGTTGATAATAGGGACGTCAATCATCATCCAAAGGTAAATTTTCATGAAAAGTGCCTATCGCTATATGAAAGTGTCGAGCAACTTCATTTTTAATAGTGTGTTTATCAGTTAATAGATCACGTGATGAAAAAGCATTGTTGAAGCAGCGATTAATAACAATCGTTCTTTTGTATTGATTCAAAAGAGAGTTGGTCATGTTAGCAGGAAAAAGTAAATAATTCTCTAATCTCCTTTCAATTGCATCTTGAATGTATTTAAGTTTGAATTTTTGTTCATGTAACTTAGATTTCACCAAAAGGTGGCAAAGCAGGAGATTAATAAACGAACGTATTGATTGTGTAATAAGAACAGTAGGAACAGGAGGTAGACAGACATAAGGTATGTTAAATTCATTTAAAAGTGTGTAAAATTCTTCAATTGATGGTGACCATTTAGGAGAGACTACTGCCTTGCCCAGAATATTCCTAACCAATTTTTTAAATTAGTACAAAAATTTCATCTTCTTATATAATCAGCTGCTTTTAAAATGCAACCTTGTAGTAGGTTCCAATATCGATTCAATTCATTCTGGTTGAAGGAGGATTTGTTGGTGAGACTTTGTAAGTAGCATCCATTGGCCAAAGCATCTACTTTATTGCTGAAAGTTTCCCATTTATCATCAGTCATCTGATCATAATTATAAATCTTTTTTGAAGGAATATTCCTTTTATTGTTCCTGATATTCAAGAAATTTTCAACATCAAAGGTGACCAGCGAATAGTCAGACAGAGAAGGATCAACATGACTTTGCAACTCATAAAATGAGAAATAACTTCAGCTGAGAACCATATGTAGTCAATTTGTGACCTCGACATAGTACTTTGATGAGTAGGATAGTGAATTCAAGATTGGTCATATTTAACTGAGAACGTGTCAAATAAATGCAAATGATCGAGTTGAGAAAAAAATTTTTTATCTTGTAAGTGTAACTTAGTATTATCCATGTCTATATTAAAATCCCCAAGGAGCAAAAGGTGATAATTATTAGAAATTGCCTCTCTAAGGTATTTAATGAGATCAGTCTATATGGGTTTTCTATGAGAGAAGTTATCTGGTAGGAGGTAGCAGTTAATAACTCTTAGTTTTTATTTGTTGTTGAATTGCAAATCGATAATTATGATATGGTTGTGTTTGGATTCATGATGAAAAATATGATTTGCCAAATAAAGGTGAACTAATAATCTAACGCTAAAGCCAATTTTTTGACTGTGTGAATCTGAAGGCAGTCTGAAAAAGCCTGTATAAGTTAATAAAAATGTGTTATTAAAGGAACGGATTGAAGGATGAGAGAAATTAATTTCCTGAAAACCAATGATATATAATTTCTAAGAGGAATAAAACTCAATCAGTAAGTTTTGTTTAGCAGCGTTAGTAAAAGAGCGAACGTTTTGTGATGTGAAAGAAATGAGTAGATGGGAAGAAGGAAAGTCATTATTTGTGTTAGGGTGTACATCTTGTGTAAAATTATCTGTAAGGACAGTAATCATTAGGAACAGATTTAAAAGGATGGTAATTCCTTGAGATAGTTTCTGACATCACTATTGAAAGCATCTCTGAGGTGAAATAACGTTTTGGCTAAGTTCTTGGGAAGCATATCGTTCTGTATGAGAATGGACTGAAATGTAGCACATGATTTGACTAAGGTGTTAACTATAGTTGTGAAAGATTTCAATCTGTGCTGATGCATTTCGTTGAGTTTCCTGAGTCCTTCAATCATTTTTCATTGTTGAGTGATGATAGATGATGATGTATCAACAGAAGGTTCAACTTCATCAAACTCCATAGTTTCAGGATCGCAGTTTTTAATATCCACTTCAAGAGGAGTAATGACTTTGAATTGTAAGGAATCTTCAACAGCTTTAACTCTTGTGATGGTAAAGTTCAAATTCTTAATCAAATCGCACATATTATTATTGAGATTTGAAAATTGTTGTCTGACAAAGGATTTAATGTCTTCATCATTATTTGCATGCATGGAGCCTCCTTTTTTAGTACTGTTATTGACATCATTCAGGGAGGTATAGGTAGTTGAATTTTAGTAAGAAGTATTATACAAGTCATCAGGAACATCATCAGACCATGATGATATTAGTGGTTCTGATGCAGCTAGTTTGTTAAGATTTTTTTGGTGTCCAAGAGGGGGTCTATTAGGATATTTTTATTGTTGATCTGTTTTGTTTTTTTCAGATTCTGATGTTTTAGCCACGTAAGCGAAGGTGACATTTGGACTCACTACACCTTTGATGCCTTTCATGGGAGCTTTGTAATTATTGTATTATGCGGGTTGAAATTGTTGGTAGAGTTATTGCATATTGCGGTCAGAAGGAAATTTACATTTTCTGGAACAGTCATTCACTTTATGGTTAGGTAAAGAGCAAATAGCATATAATTTAGCATTCAATCCCATTCAAGTCACATGCTTATTATCGATCGTAAGATTTTCATTACTGATCGCAATTTCAACATCATCAGCTGATTTGAAGTAAAAGAAAGCATTTTGGAGATTGTGATAATTCGATTGTGCTTTAAGAATAATCCAAGAGATAGCATTGACTATGTGCCCAATATCAGCGAGTTGTTTGCCATTAGTGAAATGAAGAAGACCTGCAAGTTTGGCTGAAAATTTTGATCTTGCAAGAATATCACCACGAGATAAATCACACATATGGCATCTAACTATGTCATTAAGAACAAAAACCCCATATTTGTTTTTTAATGCTTTAAAGTCAGTATTATTACTATAAGTGATTATGGCATGTTGCCAGAGATTCTTGGTTTCCATAAAAAATCTGACAATCTTTTTGAATTTAGCAAAAATTGTTTTAATTCTATGTTCAGTAGCATCAAGGGGTATCTCTGTAACCTTGATTGATTGGTGTAGAATATACGAATTTTGTGTAATGATTTCCAAGGGTGAGAACATATGATTTTCCATATCGGGTAAATCAACAGTACATGGGTGCTCTCAGTGGTCTTTGTTACAGAAGGAAATCTTGATGATGCATTCTGATTGATTCAAGGGGTTTTTTATAGCTACGACGCCAGTAAACAAATCATAGGCGTTGAAGAGTAGGTCAACAACAAAGAAAACTTTTTGTTGAGGTGACTTTCCAGGAATATCGTTAAGTAGGAAAGATGCATGAAAAGCAGACTTTGGTCAGTTGAAAGCTTGTGGTGATTTATTATCGTTATCAAAATATTTTCTGAGAAGTCATATGTTTCTTCAACGTTGAGCGTTGTTTGGAAAGTATCTTCTTCTTTAATTTTTTCTTTGTCAAGAGGTGTTTGGTCAACTTCCATAGTTTCTGGAGGAATGATAGTAGTTGAGCTACTTGGTGTTGGGATAATATTCTTTGTTTGCATTGGTTTTATTTTTTTGGTAGAACTTCTTGAAGTATTGTTGTTTGTATGTGAAAACGCTGAGCGAATTCGTTATTCAGAGTTCTTTCTCTTAGGTGCCATTATGAAAAGAAGAAAGAGTTTTTTTTTTAGTATGTAGTGTTAAATGAGACGTTAAGACTGAGGATCTCAAGTATCTTATATTGTCGAAATCACCCCTAGGTCTCCGCCAATCATTTCTGCCATTAACAACCTACACCATTGTGACTGGTCCAGATATTGCCATCGCTCTTAGTGGTGCTGTTGCTGGCTTAAGCCCATTAGGAAGATTTGACCCCTCCTGCCGGTTACTAGCTATCCAGGACCACATATCACTATAAGACTGAGGGATCCTTACACCATATACCTTGCTAGAATATACTCTTACCCTAACTAATGCTGTAGGGTTCATGGGATTATTAGCACAAGATTTGCCCAAACGGTGAACTAACAAGATGATGATATAGCCATATCGACAAACATCTTAGGAATTGAACCTAACCTCAGACCTAATGATATGCTCAATTAGACAATGCTGCGGCATGCAATGCAATTTATTATCACCGTTAATCTAATCTACTAATTTCTGGTTAATCATTTCCTTAATTTATACAACTAGTGTACAAATCTATACAGAAATAAGGGCTCCTGCCAGGGTAGACGTAAGACTGTATCCATTACACACCAATCAGTGAAGGCCAAGTTTCTGTTGATCTCAGGCTTTATTTGCATCTACTTGTTCTTACGCTATGCAGTATTTAGGCATGATCAATGTTGATTAACAGATCAATCAATCAGAATCTAACGCATATTAGTATATAAGCCCACTTGTTCAGTTACAAAGAAATTCCTTATGGAAAATCATATAGTTTTATGTATCGCACGATACCTGAACCATGGCCTATCGCTGTGTAATGAAACTTTAGCTTATAGGGGCTCGCGGCTTATACCACTGAGCAAGGAGTGCTAATCCCTTCCTTTATTTTTTTTTTTTATATATATATATATATATTATCATATGATCACGTTTAATTTTGATTGGTCAATTTTTAAATCTGAAATTACTTTAAATATATAAAATATAAAAAAAATTGTTTATTTATGTATTTAAACGTAAAATTATACTAAATATATATAAAGAAAAGAAAAAAAAAATTGGCAATTTTTTTTAATAACTATTATTATGGTTATTTATCATCATTATCTATCTCGTCTTCACTTCCTTTGCTTTCTTCATCACTAAAGTTACTAGACAAAATCCAGAGTTTAGACAAACATCTAAATATCTTTTGGATAAAGGGGGAACTAATTCTGTTTCATTAATCCAATTATTTTGCATATGAATATTCACATCTAATGAATTATTTGAGATTTGGTTATCTTAAATTTTGGGTTATGATAAAATTGTTTTGAAGATCAGATTAGGCTTCTTAAGTTTGTTTTCCTTTTCATTACCTATCATATAAGTAAAAGTGATAGATTTTGAAAACAGTTTTTTTGGAGTAGTATAATTTTTAAATTGTGCAGGCTGGTATTGTTAATACAAGTTCTGTGTCTATTGATCTTTCAGAATGTATCTGGCTTTCTATAGTTATCAGATCTATGTTTAAGGATAGAATAAATGAAGTAAAATTTGTTGTTTAGATTTGTTTAAATAAAACGCTTGCGTTCAAAATAAATGGTATTACCATTTTATGTTACTTCTAAATCATCCTTATTCTTAAAATAGAAAACTACATAATGCAGGTTTTTATACTTTGATTTAATTTTAGAATGACAAATGCAATAACTTTAACAGCTTATCTAATGGAAATTAGTTAGCGACTATTTATATTTACTGGTAAGTTGGTAAATTTGAGCAATTATTTGGATTTTTCTCTAATATTATTATTTGCAAGAGTGCAATGGCGAATATGAACTATATCTTTAGTATAGAGTATTCATGAACAGTATCAAATTGGAACATGTCAATGCCTTTCTCAAAAGTTACCATAACCTATTATCAGAGATTTTTAGTGATCTTAACATAACAGGTGACTTTACCAAAAAGGCAAATGACAATCTAATGTTTTGAACAGGTGTAGAGATTGGGATCTTTGTTATTTTGATTGATAAATCAGGGTTAATTTAGCTACATTTGTTTTAGGTAAAGGAAGGAATGATTCATTGCTTAATTAGATAATTTTTATCATTATTGCTTTGTTGTAATTTAATTTGCACGTATGGAGAAACCAATTCTGACTATTTTAATTAGTTTATTTTCAGAGTGATGTCAAACAAATGTATACCAATGAATAAGATCAGGTAGGTTCTATAAAGATTTTATTGACTGTATTAATTTTTTCTTTATTTGACCAGTCTAAAAAAAATTTCTCATTGATGCAATAAGCAAAGAAAAGAGCTTTACAAAATTGATAATATTGGTAGTATTTGATTCTTTAGATTCTAAAAGATTCTCAGAAATGTTACAACTTTCATCTTCATCATATTTATTGTTAAATGAAGGAATTATTTTCTTTAAAGGTTCGAACTGACCCAAAAATCCTTAACCAGTTAATAATCGGTTAAAATTTTCTTTAATCAGTTAATTAACCGATTAAATTTAAATCAGGTCAGCACTATAAATTTGAGCAATTTTGTAATTGCAAAAAAATTTTAATTCTGCCCGAAAATTAAATTTTGGCCAGAGTTAATATTAATTATTTTAACCAGTTAAAAAAATCTTTAACCGGTTAACAAGATAAACGTCTTAACCAGTTAATTAACTGGTTAAAAATTAACCAGTTCTAACCTCTAATTTCTTTTGTTTATGAAAGTTGAAGAAACTGTGTTAACTTTCATTTCAATATCTTTGGTTTTATTAGTTTCAAAATTGTTGTTTTTTAAAGATGCAGAGTAGTTAGTATTTCTAGTTGTTATTTTTTGGTATTTTTTTACCTTCAAGTGAGCCAGATCAGCTGCATAATGCTTTTTTGCCTGGATTGTTATTGAACTTTTTTGTTTACTTAAACATGGTCGATAGATAAGCAGAAAGAGTTTTTTTCGTGGGAGCTTTGTAGTAGAAATGGTGAAAACTCTTAAAAAATTTTTTTTTTTTTTTTTTTTTTTTTTTTTTTTTTTACAATTTCCTCCCTTTCTATAATCGAAATGATTAAACTTAATTTAAGGTAAGGGTACAATATATAAAAAAATATATCACAAAAAAAAAAAAATAAATAAATAAAATTTGTTGTCCTCACAAATTAAATTTTTGTTTTTGTTGAGTTCATGTCCAAAGTTTATTAAACAGCAAGATCTCTTGAAATATTGCACAGGGTCTTTTTAATGCGATATCACTAATGCATCGGTCGAGCAATCAAATAATAATAATAAAAAAAAATCTAGATTCTCGCGTTAAAACAAATTTTCTAAATATTAAAAAATAAAAAAAAAAAAAAAACAACGAAATAAAATAAGTATTGAAGGTATATGACCCAATGCTCGACGTTTTGTTAAATGTGAAGTTTACCAAATGTTAGATGGGCAATAATTCAAACAAGATATTTAATAAATCTTACCGTATGATGACGTAAAGCCTTATATAAATGTTGCTTACAAAAATGTTTACAATCGCAACGAACACTAACGGGAAAAGACAATCAATAACATAGAACTCAATAATGAACTATTTAAACACAGTCAACTCTAATATTCATAGTGCCTCATAAAATTTGGCACCCATACATCAACACTTTTTTACTTTTTTCATTCATTATTTTTAAAGAACAATAAAACATGAAGACAGCAGAAATTACCCTTTAAAAAAAATGGAAGAAAAGTCCATGATCAAAGATTTTATTCACCAAACGGAATATATATAGTGGCTTATATGCCAAGCCAAACGGAACAAAAAAAAATATTTGTACTAAGCCCTCGATATTTTATTACGTAATACAGAATTTGATTGAATTTACACGTGCTACGCAATAAATACATAATGGAAAAGTATAAAATCAATTTTTCTGACCGAAAAGTCCCATCGTTCCTTTTTTTTATAAAAAGAAATTCGTTTATTGAATTAAAAAAGAATATTTTATATATATCTATTTGAAATGTTATTATGAAGATAAATAAATCCTTTACGATATTTTTATTTGTATGTTTAAGTTGTTTTTTCACATTTATTGTAACGGCAAGTCCAATACCATCATCTCCAACAACAACAACGGCAACGACGACAACAACAATTTCTTCGACATCATCGCCATCTCCAACAGCGGCGGAAGCAATTTTTGAAAATCCATCAAAACTTCCAACAGTAATAACGGGTCATATAAGATTTACAAGTATCTCGCAAAATAAGACGAACGTTAGTGGTAAATTAGATTCGGGTATATTTGATCAAGAAGCCGCATATTACCACTTTAAAATTATAGATAGGTCAAAAAAATTGATATACGATCTAACTGCTGATGGTTTGACGGAATGGAGCGTCAAGGTACCTGGAACAACCTCATTTCAACATGATTTTGATAAATTACCAATTATTGAAATTGTTGATCAATTTTTTGAAGTCAATCATAGTAAAAAAGGTACTGTTGGGATGACTATGATTAAACCTATTTAAAGGATGGGAGTAAATGTATTGTAAATATTGAAATAAAAGATATCTAGTAAAATGAGAAATTTGATTATCATTTTTACTTATTTAGGATCGTATCTATGATGTTACTAAATTGAAAAAAATACACTAAACAGAGAAAGTATTATCATTTAAAAAGAACTCATGACAAAAAAAGATGCTTTTTTTAAATCTAAAAATTTTTTTATTCTCTTGATTTTGATTGGTTTACTATCACATCTTATCTGCACAATTGTGAATAGATTTAGCAAAAGTTGTAAAACCTTTTCTTTAAAGGTATCGAATTAGATTATATCAAGTTTAGTCAATTTCTCACAATTTAATTTTTTTTTTTATATATATATAAATATAACAATTTTTTCAATGAATGAAAAAAATAATAGCGAATATAAAGTAAATTACTTAAAGATATAAGTTTAGGACCGAGTTCAATATCTCTAAAGTGGTTTGACGTAATAATGATGATGTCCATTATAGATAGACATGGCATCCATAATCTCGCAATATAAATTAGTGCAGCCATGATATCGAAAAAATTCAGCGGATATTTATTCACTTTGCGATTTTCAAAAATTCTGTTTTATCAATATCTCGTAACTTTGAATTTTTACTTATCCTTTTTGGATAAGTTCTCCAAGTTTTTAAGAAGTTTATAAAGTTGGTTGGACAGTTTGTGAATTAAGAATATTAACAATGCATTATAATTAAATAATAATTAATTTTTCTTTAATTTCAATTAAAAAATTCCACTTTGTGCATCGTATACCGTGAACAACCTTTATCTAATAATAGAATAGTGTACATTATTACAATTATTGTTCGGCACGTGATAATACAGTTCATATTAATTTTCCCCTCACCCCCACTGATTTTTTTGAACGAAATTATTAGGTGACAAATAGGATTTTTCAATAAATAGTAAAGTGGAGGAGGGTGTGACACGGTGTGAAAATTATTAAGGTCACGTTGCGTGAAAAATTTTGTGTGTATGTAGATCTAAAGCCTAAGAATTATTATCCCCAAGATCACAACCACTCTACAATCACATGACAAAATTTTTTAAATTCCGTGACAGTTCAAAGTGCTTATGGCATCACTAGTGTTTCTCTATTTCTATTGATCCATAATTTCCAATATAATGCAGTAGATAAAAAAAATATTACAACGTTTAACCAAGCTAAAGCAGTAATTGACAAGTATAATTTACATTTTAATTGTAATTCCCATGGAATTTGTGATGTTGGATGTTTTTTTGAATAACCGGGACAAGTTAATTCTGGTGCATAATAATACGCGAATACGTTTACTAAACCTGTGAAAGCGAATTGAGAATAACTGAATAAATAATTTGAATAGAATGTGAAATAAAAAATTTTTTTGAGGTTACCGGCGATTATCCATACAATTGCAAATCCTCTGGTGTAAGAATATATATATAAATAAATTAAATTTATCGCAAAAATAAACCATTTCTTTCAACACCAAAAAAGAACACTAACCCTCCGAATACAATATCTCGAATGGAAGGACCTTCCCTCCATAACATATTAAATTTAACAAATTGTATGCCTAAAAAAAACAATAGTTTGATTTTTTATAAAAAAGAAGGTGATCAAAATCAAAAGTTTCTTTTTATTGCTTACCATTTATAATAATCGTCAAAATCAATATAATATAAAAAAATATTTTTATGCCATATAAATTCGATCTAAAAAATCAATTATTAAAGATATAATTTTATATTAAATTCTTTGAAAAGTGGATTTCTTGTTAATATTAACTACCACTACCTTGAATTTTGATAATAATCATCGGGAAATTCATGTATGATATTATTTGTATCACTTGTAGAGTATAATGTAAATGCTTTATATTGCGTTATTTCTATTTTTGAGAATGTTTGGAAATTTAAATCTATAACTAAGTTTATTTCTATAAGTTTAGTTAACTAACCTGATGCTATAATAGCCAAAGTAGTTAAAATTGTTAAAAATTTTAAAGTTCGAAATAAAATTGGATATTTCCCGAGCACCATTATTCAAAAATTTATTCAAAAATTCATCGTTAAAAATTTCTATCAAAGATACAGTATATCGGAAAAAAAAAGTTTCATCCATTTCTGTATAATGCGAGTTAAATTATACAAAAGATTTGAAAACTAACTCATTAAGGTTAAAAAAAAAAGATACAATTTCCATGTCGATCATTAACCAGCTAATTTTTGGCTGAATCCGTAAATTTAAAAACGTCACGATAATGTGGCTGATTAATCACGTTATTTAAAAGAATTTTCCCACGAATTATTGTTCAGAAATTCGTTATGGATCAAACTAAAGCAGTATCTAAGAATACCCCACCTCACATACCAACAGAATGTTTTCAATGCATTTTTTCATTCATCGAAGATGATTATCAAACTTTATACTCAATACTATTAGTAAATAGAACTTGGTGTCAAAATGTAATTCCGATTCTTTGGAAAAAACCATTTACTCTTTCATGTGATGCAGAACCATCATCATTTTGGAAGATTATTACAATTTATCTTTCATATTTACCAGATGATTTTGTGGATATTCCTGAGATGCAGAATATTAAGCAATGTACATACAAGCAATCGACAATATTTGATTACGTATCATTCTTGAAAGAACTTAATTTCAAGAAACTTTATGAAGCTATTTCAAGATGGGCAACTGAAAATAGAATTTTTGTCAGTAAAGAGGATGAAGTTGATCTTGATCTAGAGAGGTTGTCGTTTGGAGAATCTGTAATGAATAGGGATATAGAGAATGTTCAGGATCTTACTAACGAATGGGGATCACGCGAATTAGATAATTCAATTAATGATATACAAGACGATGATGATTATTTTGAATATCAAGATGATGATGATGTTGATTCATTAGTTGAATACGATGATAATTTGGATGATACACATGACCAATATTATTATTATGAGAATAATTCATGGAGTGGTCCGGAATATTATCATGATATGATAGACAGTGTTGAGATGCCGATTGATAAGTCTTTAGTAAATAAAAAGCTAATGATCGCTAAAAAGTTTTGTTTATATTTAATGAGCCTTTGCAGAAATTTTGAGCTTCTTGCTTTGGATACTCGAGGTTGGTCAAGAGGCTTTTCGATTACTTCACGTGACTATATTTCTTTACCTTGTTTCCCTGGAGCGTCCGAATGTTTATCAAAGGTTACTGAATTTGTTTTATGTGGAGAATTCGAAAAGGCCGATATCCTTGATACGATGGCTACGTACTGTAAAGATATTCGTTTTCTTACAGTTATTGATTCGTACCATAGTTCACCTCATTCCATAGCGAATCTTATCAACGCTCAAAATGGACTAGCTTCAATCACTTGGGTTAGTGGAGGTGAAAATGCTTCTCCAATCTTAAGGTCGTTTGTAACACAAAGTAAAAGTCTTAAAACTGTTAATTTGCTTAGAGCTTATACCAGAGATTATGATGCATATGAGGGTTTGGCTGCTTGTAAAAATTTGGAGAATTTAAAATTCACGGAATGTAATCATGCAAGTCTCCACATGAAAGCTTTGGCCAACGCAGATTTTCCTCGTCTCAAGACAATTGAAATCAGTGACCCTCTTAGCTATGAGGATGAAGACGACGAAGATTTTGATCCACCGTCTTTAGAATATACTAGTTTGATTCATAATGCGGGTAAACATCTCGAAGAAATAAGATTGTATTTAGAGCTACATTTTTATCCTGGAATCATTGAGACAATTGCATATAATTGTCCAAACTTAACTTTATTTTACGGAAGTGTTAAAAATGATGAACAAATTATTGAACTAATAAAATTATTAAATGGCTGTAAAAAGCTTGAAGAATTAGTTATATATGGATCTTCCCGGAGTAGTTTGTTTCCTGTTGATAATATGTTAGCTCAAATCGGTCAATCAATTCCAGAAAGTCTCGAATATTTAGATTTATCTAGATGGACCTTTTCGGGAAAATCTTTGAATCAATTCTTAATAAACTGTAAAGCCAAGTTAAGGCATATGTCTTGGCATTGTTTCTTTAATTGTGAAGAGCATAAGGAAGCGATTGATCGTTATGCTAGTGATAGGGGAATCAGCGTACGAGAATTTCGCGTTGGATCATATTGTGGATATGTATGGCAAAGGCCTGTTTGTCACGTTTTGGTTGATTTTGAATTTCCGGAATAATCTAATGTAAGTATTAAAAAATTTTTTTTCCTTTGGATGATACATTTTAAATTCATTAACTGTTTTTTAATTTATTACTGATAATCATTAAAGAGGATAAGAAATATTTTATAAAAAAATTATAAAATATTTACTTTTTTTGAGGAAGAAAAAAATTTCATTTTAATGTAAAATGTTATAATATTATTAATTAATAAAAGCTTTTATTATATATAATGGCAATAATTACAAAAGACGCATTTTATTATATAAGTAAATTAGCTTAACCTTTGTATTATAAAATTATTATTTTTAATAAAATATAACAAAATTTTAAATTTTAATTTATATTTAAATATTTAAAATATCGTAATATATGTAATTTTAAATGTTTTTAATATAAAAGCAATAAATTTTATTATTTATCTAAAAAAATACTTAAAAAGATTTTTAAACTTTTGATCTTAATTAATATTATTAATAATTAAAAATTTATATAATTTAAAATATTGAAATCATAACTTTTAAATCTAAAATTTAATTTTAATTTATGAATTTCACATTAAAATTTAAAATTATTAAAAAATAGTTAAATATTTATCTTAAAAATTTTATTTATTATATATATAACTATATAATATTGATATTATAATGAAATAAATATTTATATATTTAAATTAAAGATGTTTATCTAAAATATTTTTAACCAATTTTAAGTTTTAATATAATTTTATTTTATAATAAATATTTTTACTTAAATTTCTAATGGTTAAAAAAAATAAGAAAAATAAATTTTTTTAAATTTCCTTTCTGAAAAATTAAAAATTAAAATTAATAATTAATTTAAAAAAAACAATACAATAATTTAATTTTAATAAAGTAAAATAAAATCCAGTTAAATAAAAAAAATAATAATAAAAATCATTCCAAAAATAATATAAAGGAATTTTTACCTTTTAAAATCAATTTAATAAGTAATTGTATTTAATAATATCAGTATAAATAATCATTTAACTAAATTTTTTTTCATAAAAAAAAAATATAAAAAAGAAAATTAATATATCTTTTAATTTAAGTGAGCATTTCAAAAAAAAAAAAAAAAAGATTTAATTATAATTTTTTTATATATTCTAAATAAATAAATATAATAGATATAAGGTTTTTTTGAATTAAATTTAAAATTGCTAAATGAAATCTAAAGTTTAAATAGACATCTAAATGATAAAGGTAAAACTTGGTTAAATTATATTAAAATCTTATTAAAAAATTAATGAAAATAGAAAAAAGGTAAAACTATATCAAAATATCAAAACTTATAAAAATGATAAAACCATATCAAATACTTAGTAAAAATTTAGCAAAACTAAAGGTTTAGATATTTAACCAAATCTAAAATAAGTTTAAATAAGTAGCTTTATTAAATCTAAATTGTAATTTCTTAAAAAATTTTTTTTTTTATTAATTATAAAAAAAATCAGAACTTAAATCATTACTTGAATTTGGAATTAAAAATTTAATTAGTATTACTTTTTTTCTATTTTATTTATTTAAGATTATTATTTAATATACATGATAACTTATATATATATCTTAACAATCAAATGACATGTTTGATAATCATATCAAAAATAATTTATTACAAGATTAATAATTTGTATTATAATAATAAATTGCCTAAAATCATATAAAAAAGTATAAATTTACAATCTTTCAGATTTATTTTAATGTTAATCTAATGAGTAAACTTATAATTTAAAGATGACTACTTTTATTTTCAGTTTTATTTTTTTTATAATTGCTTTCTTTTATGAAAATCTCTTAAATTAATAATAGCAAATTTTAAATAAATTTGGTTAATAAAGTATACTAGCTCTTTTAATTTTAACTTTACAAAAAAGACTTCATGTCTAATTATTAAATAAAATAAAATTTCATAATTTTAAAGAAAATGAAAACTTTTCTGACTATGATTCTAACATAAGTTAGAAACCTTTTAATAAATAAGTATTTAATGAGTTATCTGAATTAAAACCATTTGTATTTAACTAAAAAGAATATATTAAAGCATAAGCAGAGTTTAAACAAGAAATTATAGTTTAATGATAAAAATAATGATTATCAAAATAATATTGAGAATAAAGAAATTCTACTTTTATCATCACCATCACTAATATTACTAATATTACTACTACTATCTTCACTAATATCAACAGATATTTTACCATTATCAATACCAATAGGAATTTTATCTTTATCAATACTAATAAAAACTCTACCTCTAATATCTATCAAGAAATAAAGCAAACCAATTTGTAAATCAAAATCATCAATATTATTATCATTAAGTGTTCTTATTAATTTAGTAGATAGTAAATTACAAATTTATAATAGAACAAAAAATGTTAAAATATTTGTCAATTAGTTAATATTTAACAAATTGATACAAATATGATAATAGAATTTAAGGTAGATTGATTAATATTAGATGCAGCATTTTAATTATGATCAAAAAAATCATAGTTTTAAAATAAAACAAATGTAAAAAATTCAATAAAGTGAAATTAAATAATGTTATTGTTTATTTTGCTGTAAAAACTTTTATTTCTTTTGGTTACAGAGTTGGATGTAAGAAACATTTATAGAATAATTTTGGGAAGAATATTCAAATACTTTGTATTAGACTCTTTACTTATAATTCATTATATAAATGTTAAGGATTGCTAAATAAAACTTTGATGAAGTTAGTATTACATAATATATTTGTTATAAATGTTATAAATCTAAGGGTAAACATTTACATTATCAGCCTGAACTTGAAAAAGTGAACAGTTATGTATATATAAAAAAATTAGCATATTAATAATTTAACAAAAGTTTGGAATTATTAGCATAATAGCTTTATCATATTACACAAATTGAATCTACAGATCAAAAAAAGAAAATTCTAACATGCATATTAGTTTTAGTAATCAATTTTTTGTATATTTCTTCAGAAATATTTCCTTTAAAATATATATACTATAATTCAAAAAATGATGACTATTAAAACAATAACAATATCTCTAAATTTATAATTTTAAATCTTACATAAATAATTTCTTTTTTATTTTAAATATCTAGTTTTTTTTAGAGATATTAATGCATTTAAATCAAAAGGAAAAAATTTATTAAATTGGAATTAGAATTATATTGTCAAATGAATTTGTCTGATTTCTTATTTATGCAAATTAATTATAAATATACCCTATAAGAAATCGAAATAAGGAAATGATACGTTTTTTATAAGGTTTGTATACGTAATTGATGATTCCGTATCAT